CATGACATGGTTTCCTGTTTTCATGTGACATGACATGGCATGACATGACACGGCCATGACATGACACGGCGTGACATGACATGTCATGTGGAGGACTCCGACATGTCCATGATGGAAAAGCACAAACACTCCTGCCGTCAGATGGGTGTTCCAGATTTTTTGCCGAGGAACCATGAAGGTGACATGACAAACATGTTCACATGAAGGTGACAATCTCAGAACATGAGTTTCATGCGACAAACACTCTGACTTTACACACGCATGAGTCTCACAACAAACATGTTCACGCACTTGACCAGCCAGTGGCAATCTCACAAACAGGTTCACACACTTCACAAACTTAATCACACTTGACCACTCCTCTCACACATGTTCACGAATCTCACAAACATGTTCACATCTGACAACTCCTTCACTGCGCCGGGCATCATGGCACTTCCTCGTCGCGTGCTGGATGGAATGCAAGAGCTCCTGCACAAGGAGCCTGAGAAGTTGGTGAAGACCGTGCAGTCCTGCCTGGACTTTTTGACGGAGCACGGCATGGTCACGACTATGAAGCTGCCCCCATTGGCAGTTGGAGTCCACCCTTCCAACCGCGACGGGTGTGGAGTGAACCCATCTGACGTTCACGAGCTCATCGACAACATCAGTGGCGTTGGATGGGTGGATTCGAAAGTGAATGGCATAGCAGTTGAGGTTGAGGATTCGCACCGGATCTTCAACCAGCAGATCTGCTTGGCGGCAGCTGGTGCCTTGGGGACGGTGGATTCCATGGCCTTGAAAGCGGTTACGCTATGTGGGAGTCACACCAATTATGCACTTCGCCTGATCGCGCAGGAGGTTGCACATGAAGGAGGCGCAATCACCCAGGACGGCAAGCTGAGCCTGAGCTTGCTCCAGAAGCACGACCAGGCTTTCTACAAAGCCGCTACTACCGGCATTACGTTCAAGGTGCTGAACAAGGAGGTCGCCCGTCAATGGCCGGACCTCCTGCCAATGATCCAGCAGTATGGCAATGCAAGTTTGCAGAAACAAGAGCACGAACTTCAGATGTTGTGCCGCCTGCATGCTTTGTACGTGGTGGAACATGCAAAAGGGGGCTCGGTGTCATTCAGTGAGATCAAAAAGAAGGCTCTGCAGAGTCGACCGCCTTGCGCCCAAGCAGTGCCAGCTTTGTACAGCTTTGTTCTCAAAGCTAGTGGTGGCAGTACAGGTGAGCTCCTCAAGGAGACAGAGCGCTTCGTGAGACAGCGATGTTCTTCGGCGAGGTCGTTGGGGGCAGATCTTTGGGAGGTCTTGGCTCATGAGCCTAAAGGTTTTGCTTCTTCTGGCTCTTTGGCTTTGTTCAGACATGCAATGGTGAAGCTGGCCTACTCGTCGAAGAAGGTGGGCAAGGCCGAATGCAAGAAGATGTTCAGTCAGGACATCAAGGGTGATGTGGTCACGGCAGATGCTTTGATGAACGAACTTCGTTCACTGGCAAGGCACCACGCAGATCCGAGTACTCCACAGGTGTTCATTGCCCAAGGCTCGACTGACCAGATGTTGGCAAGCTTTGCCATCAAGCTTCGTCTTCCAGACGAAAAGCTGTATGAATCGTTCGATGAGATTTGCCATGACTTTGTCCTGGTCTTGAGGCACATGACTGGCCAGCCTGTCCCTTCTCGATGGGAGGCAGGGTTGAAGGAAGAGGAGAAGGCCAAGGTCAAAGAGAGTGATTCTCAGGCCACCCTGCGGGAGCTGAAACAAGATGGAACCTTCAAGGATCCGGCCAAGGTGCTTGCTGAGATGGGGTTCCCGGTCGGATCGCACATTCGCCGCAAGAGTGACAAGACAGAGGCCGTGATCACGGAAGTGGTGGAAGACAATGTGAAAGTCTCGATTGATGGAGGCTTCTTCAAAGTCAGCATCAAGGAGTCAACTGTTTTTGATTTTTTTCAGGACGTATTTCATCTCTGGAATTACATTTATCTCATGCAGTGTCAGGCCACAAGGGTTCAGCTTTCAATTCATGCAATCACATGTCCATGTTTCCTATGTCCATGTCATGAGAATGAATCTCACGGTCACGTTTTCTCATGGACATGTATAGTGTGCACTCAGGAATTTCATGCCACGTCATGTCATGTCAGATCTTCACAAGAGTTCAAGTCAAAACACACCATGCCATGGACACAGCTCATGCGCATCACATGCAGGACATTATGAATGGGATGTGGGCTACCTTCACTCCGCGTCCTGAGCGTGAGGTATTGCGAGATTTTGCCCAGTACGCCACGAGCCAGAGCTGGAACTACGAGGCCTCTTTGACTGCTGCCAAGATCACTTTGGAGCTTGAGGGCCTCTCGAAGAAGTACAAGCAGGATCAATGGCACGCCCTTGAGCTTCAACTGAAGCCAGGCAAGGTTTTGCAGGTCGTAAAGCCCATCCAGAAGCACAAGCTCATCTTGGCGCCAACAACTTCAAAAGTCATGTTCAAGTGTGAGGGAGTTCCTGCCGCTGGTGTGAAGGTTGAGACCGACTGGGAGGATGCTTGCTCTTTCTTCCTGCTCGCAGATTCCAAGTTGCCAGGAGTTGATGAGCCAGAAGATCCAAAGGATTGCAGCTTCTGCCCGTACTTCAGCGTGGAGAAGACCAGCAAGGAGGACGAGTCCAACATGGAGGTGTTCTGGGCCCATGGACGGGACAGTACTTTGAGGTTTCCTCTTCTCCGCAACACGAGGAAGCTTGAGACTGGAGAGCGGCTGATGATTTGGCAGGAGAAAGTGTCTCAGGCAGTGGAGCCTCTTGCTGCAGCTTCACCGGCCAAGCGACCTGCACCGAAGGCGGCCGCGCCAAGAAGAGGAGCAAGTGACGGCCAGTGATGGCAAAGCTCCACGGTGACGATTTTGCACTATGACCGATCTCCCAAGTCAAAAGATAAATGCGCATGTCATGGATTTGCAGTCGTGGTTGTCATTTGTATAGGCGTGCCATGGCATTTCTGTGCATGGACCATGTGTTTATGACACAGTTCAGTTGAGACTCTCATGAAACATGTCTCGTCACATGGGTCATGTTTTTCATGTCATGCTGCAACACATGGGTGATGTTTTCATGTCATGCTGCAATGTCAATGATATACGCCTAAATCCCAGCAGGTTCAAAAGCTGTGTCGTCGTTCCTGTATATATACTGCAGATTTGTTTGGTGCCATGATGCGTGCAAGCTTTGAAGTGGGGTCAGTTTTGCAAGTGGCGTGGGTTGGCCGGAAGGGGCGGGAGACCTGGGTTCCCAAGCAGAAGGTGGTGGAAGGCAAGCCTTTCTTCTGCTTGGACAAGTGGGAGCATCGTGCCGTGTTCTTCTTCACAGACACCAAGCTCGATTTGAGGAAAGGGAAACACACTGGCTCGATCGATACGCCATTCTTGGATCAGCTGCTCACCCAAAGGAACCGCGCTGCAGATGACGCAGTGCAGAAAGCGGTTGAAGTCCCTGTCGATGGCGAAGATGAGCAGCCTCCCAAGAAGAAGAGGGTCAAGCACACGATTGAGAAGCAGCACTTGGCCCCAGAGATTCTCACGATCGAAGTTGAGGGTGAGAAATTTGAGTGTTTGTTTGAGGGTTGCCACTCGTCAGTCATTTGGCTGGAGATGAGTGATGAAATCCTCTCTCGTGTGGGCAAGAAGCTGGCTGCCTCGAAATCGAAGGCTCGAAAGTCACGGCCCTCATCACGGTAGTTGTGCTTCTCATGATTGTTGAAGACACGCGACACGTCATGAGAGACATCTTACGATGCCACGGAACATAAAAAAGTTCGTCATGTTGGTGGGTTTGTCATGTCAAACGAATGCCTGTATGGATCATGTCATGTGAGTGATTTGTTACGTCAAACGAATGAAGGGACCATGTCATGTGAGTGATTTGTCATGGTCATGTAAAACACGATTTCATGAATCATGTCATGTGAGTGATTTGTCATGGCCATGTAAAACAAGATTGCATGGATGTGTCATGAGTGATTTGTTGTCCTTTTTCGTTGTTGTGATTTGTTGATATAGGTTGTGTTGTGTGCTTACCGTTGAGGGACAAGCCTCCACAGACAAACAAAAACCTTGAGACAGATGGGATTGAGCAACCTGCATTCTCCGCTCCGACCGCTTTCTAGTCAGCGCGGCACGTGTCAACAGTTTTTGAT